TAATATTTACTTCCTAACAAAGTTTATCACAATTGAAGGGAAAAGCATACATGGAATCACTGAGCACAGAGGAGGTCCAAAAATAATTTCTTAACTCTGAATATTGACCATGGGTTTCAGATATATTCAATGGTGTTCTGATTTTTTCTGAAAAAGACAAAGAAAGGAAAAGAAAACCACATATACACACAGTTCCAGGAAATGTTGCAAAATGATAAAAAGTGTTTCAAGTACAGCCCCATTGCTAGATCTGTTTTTTGAGAACAACAAACTTTGGCAACCCTAAAATTTGTTTAGTATGGCTTATTTTATGTCTCTTGGTCATAGTTTTTCCTTTTAACTCGAGAATTTGATGAGATGAACTTTAACAACTAAAAACAGATTTAATACATTAGTATACAATGATTCAAGACTGACAATGCCAGAAAAATATTTGCTTCTTCTAAAATGTAGATATCATTGATCAGTTCTACAAAACCATATTAAGTATTTTAAACTCTTATTTAAAAAAATTTATTATGGTAAAATATATATAATAAAAAGTTTGCCATTTCAACTGTTTTTCAGCATACAGTTCAGTAACATTAATTATATTCACCAAGTTGTCCTACCTTCATCACTACTTTCAAATATTTTTCATCACCCTAAAGAGAAACTCAGTACCCTTTTACCAGTAGCTCCCATTACCTCCTTTCCCCAACCCCTGGAACCACTAATAAACGTTTTCTCTATGCATTCAACTGTTCCAGATATTTCCTATCAGTGGGGTCATACGGTATTTGTCCTTTGGTATCTGACTTATTTCACTCAGCATAATGTTTTAAAGATTCATCCATGTCAGAGCATATATCAGAACTTTATGTTCTTTATGAATAATATTTCATTGTATGTATATACCGCATTTTATTTATTCATTCATTTTTTGCTGGATGCTTAGGTTTTTTCCACCTTTTGGCTGTTGTAAATAACCAATAAATTACAATGAATGTTTGTGTACAAATATCTGTTTGAGTTCCTACTTTCAGGTCTGTTGAGTATTTACCTAGAAATGGAACTGCTGGGTCATATGGCAATTATATATTTAACATTTTGTGGAAGCATCAAACGGTTTTCCGCAATGGCTTCACCATTTTACATTCCTATCAGCGATGCACAAGAGTTCTAAATTTCTCCACACTCGTCCCCACATTTCTCATTTTCCATTTTTCTCATAATCCTGGTAGGTGTGAAGTCCTATCTCACTTTGGCTTGGCTTCGCATTTCCTAATGACTAATGATTTTGAACACCTACTTTATGTGTTTCTTGCCATTTGCATATCTCTTTTGGAGAAATATCTATTTAAGTCTTTTGCCAATTTTTTAAAAATTGAGTGGTTTGTGTTTTTGTTGCTGAGTTGCAGAGGTTCTTTACATACTCTAGATAATAAACCCTTACCAGATCGATGATTCCCAAATATTTTCTCCCAATTTATAGGTTGTTTCTTCACTCTCTTGGTAAAGTTCTTTGATATACAAAAATTGTTTATTTTGATGAAGTACAATTTATCTATTCTCTCTTTTGTTACTATTGTTTTTGGTGTCATATCTCAGAGTTCATCTGTCAAAAACAGGGTACTAAAGCTAAGGCTCTATGTTTTTTTCTGGGAGTTTTATGAGTTTAGTCATTATCTTTAGGTTTTTGATCTATTTTGAGTTCATTTTCAGATATGGTATGAGGCATGAGTTCAGATTTATTCTTTTGCATGTGGAGATCCAGTTGTCCTGGTCCCATTTATTAAAGAGATTTTTCTTTCCCCTTTGAATGCACTTGATACACTTGTTAAAAATCTGTTGGGCATTGGTATATATGACTTGTAGATTTTTATGTGCTTTTGTTGATAGATTTTTTTCCAGAGTTTTCAGAACCAAAAATTATTTTCTTATCCTTATTTTTCTTCTTCTCCATGCATTTCTAAAATTCTTACTCTTATATTTCTAATATTGCCTTAGGGAAAATTTTTCAATCATTTTTCTCATCTTATTGGTTTAATATAACATAGTTTTAAGGATAAACAAATATCTTAGAATAAACAAATGGGGGAGGGCAGGAAGCCTGCTTCTGAAGAAAACAGAGTTATCATATTATTCTTAATAATAATAGCTTTATATATTTATAAGTCTATTTATAATTGGGTGAGTAACCCAAGTGGTGTGAATTAATGTAGGAAGAATTTTCCTCAGCATGTGAGTAAGTAAGATCATATCAGTCACTTAAAGAAGTATGGAATAGAGAGTAAGGTTTGGCCTGAGATTAAGATAGGAGATATAGTGGGGAAATGACTCAGCTATAAATGCTGACCAAGGAGGTGACAAGCATGGGATGTGGCAATATCAGTTCTCAATCTGGGGAATTGGCAGACAGCAAGGAGTCCATAAATTTCCTGGGGAAACCTTAGGTGTGCAAAACCCAGCAGTGGGGAACCCGTGGAGGATGCTTTTGTACCTTCATATTCAGGTATTTGGGCTATCAACATCAAAAACATCAGTCAACCAACTGGCAGGGTCCCAGACACCAGAGCTGGGCTCAGATTAGGACTCTATGTATGAGGAAGGGGTTTGATTAGAACAAGCAAGACTTATTCTTACATGTATTAAAATAGAAACTTGGAAACTAGGACCAAGCACATTTATTAGAAAGGAGGTATAGGGTAGAGGTTAAAATTCAGAAATTATATAGGAATGCAACTTTTAGAATTGGACCATGACGTCCAGGAATGACAAGAGTGATTTGGAACTAAGTCCACAGATTGAGAGGCTTGAGATGGTCAATTGTCTCTAATTGTGTGCCATATTGTTTGTGGTTGTTGTTGTTATTAGGTGCTGTTAAGTCAGCTCCAACTCACAGTGACCCTAGGTACAACAGAACAAAACACTACCTGGTCCTGTGCCATCCTCACAATCCTTGCTATATTTGAGCCCATCATTGCAGCCACTGTGTCAATCCATTTCATTGAGGGACTTCCCCTTTTTCGTTGATCTGCCACTTCACCAAGTATGATATTCTTCTCCAGGTAATGGTCCCTTCTGACAACATGACCAAAGTAGGTGAGAAGTCTGGCCATTCTTGCTTCTAAGAAGCATCCCGGCTGCACTTCATCCAGGACTGATTTGTGAGTTCTTCTGGAAGTCCATGGTACTTTCAGTATTCTTTGCCAACACCACAACTCAAAAGCATCAATTCTTCTTCAGTTTTTCTTATTCATTGTCCAGCTTTCAAAGGCATAAGAGGTGATTGAATATACGATGGTTTGGTTAGGCACACATTTGTCTTCAAAGAGACATCCTTGCTCTTCAGCACTGAAAGATGTCTATTGTAGATATGCCCAATGCAATACATTGTCTGATGTCTTGAAAGCTTCTTCCATTGGTGTTGATTGTGAAACCAAGTAAGATGAAGTCTTTGACAACCTCAATCTTTTCTCCATTTATCATGATGTGCTTATTGCTCCATTTCTGAGGATTTTTGTTTACTTTATGTTGAAGTGTGATGCATACTGCAGGCTGTAGTCTTTAATCTTCACCAGTAAGTGCTTCATGTCATTCTCACTTTCAGTAACCAAAGTTGTGTCATCTGCATATTGCAGGTTGTTAATGAGCCTTCCTCCAATCCTGATGCCAGGTTCTTCTTCATATAGTCATATAGACTATTTGTTCAGCATACAGATTGAATAAGTATGGTGAAAGGGAACAAGTCTGACACACTCCCTTCCTGATTTTAAACCATGCAGTATCCCCTTGTTCTGTTTGAATGGCAGCCTCCTGTTCTATGTACAGGTTCCTCCTGAGCACAATTAAGTGTACCGGAATTCCCATTCTCCTCAATGTTACCCATAATTTATTATGATCTATACAACCAAATGATTTTGCATAGTCAATGAAACACAAGTAAACATCTTTCTGGTATTCTTTGCTTTGAGCCAAGATCTATCTGAAATCAGCAATGATATCCCTCATTCCACATTCTCTTCTGAATCCAGCTCATGTTTCTGGAAGTTCTCTGTCAATATACTGCTGCAACTTTTTGAATTATCTTCAGTAAGATTTTACTTGTGTATGATATTGTTACACAATTTCTACATTCTGTGGCATAACCTTTCCTTGGAATGGGTGCAAATATGGATCTCTTCCAGTCAGTTGGCCAAGTAGCTGTCTTCCAAATCTCTTGGCATAGATGAATAAGTGCCTCCAGCATAGCATCTGTTTGTTGAAACATCTCAGTGGGTATTCCATCAATTCCTAGAGCCTTGTTTTTTTGCCAATTCCTTCAGAGCATCTTTGACTTCTTCCTTCAGTACTACTTGTTCTTCATCATATGCTACCTCCTGAAATAGATGAACATTGACCAATTATTTTTGGTACAGTTACTCTGTGTATTCCTTCCATCTTCATTTGATGTTTGTTGCATCATTCAATATTTTGCCCATAGAATTTTTCAATATTACAACTTGAGGCTTGAATTTTTCTTCAGTTCTTTCAGCTTGAGAAATGTTGAATGTGAACATTTGGTTCTCTAACTCCAGGTCTTTGTACATTTCATTATAATAATTGACTTTGTCTTCTCAATCTGCTCTTTGAAATCTTCTGTTCAGCTCTTTTGTCGTGTCATTTCTTCCATTTGCTTTAGCTACTTTACATTCAAGGGCAAGTTCCAGAGTGTCTTCTGACATCCATTTTTGTCTTTTCTTCCTTTCCTGTCTTTTTAATGACCTTTTGCTTTCTTGATGGATGATTCTTGATGTCATCCCACAATTCCGCTGGTCTTTGGTCATTAGTGTTCAATGCATCAAATCTATTCCTTAGATGGTCTCTAAATTCATAGGGATATACTCAAGGTCATATTTTGGCTCTTGTGGACTTGTTTTAATTGTCTTCACTTGCAAGCTGAACTTGCATATGAACAGTTGATAGTTTGTTTCACAGTCAACTCCTGACCTTGTTTTGACTGACAATATTGAGCTTCTCCATCACCTCTTGGCACAGATGTAATCAATCTGATTCTTGTATACTCCATCTGGTGAAGTCCATGTGTATAGCCACCATTTATGTTGCTGAAGAAATGTATTTTGCAATGAATAAGTTCTTGGTCTTGCAGAATTCTATCATGCCATCTCCAGTGTTATTTCTATCACCAAGGCCTTCTTTTCCAACTACCGGAAATTTTTCTTTGTTTCCAACTTTTGCATCCTAATCACCAGCAATAACCAATGCTTTTTGATTGCATGTTTGATCAACTTCACACTGCAGGAGCTGGTAAAAATCTTCAATTTCCTTGTCTTTGGTTTTGGTCATTGGTGCATAAATTTGAATAATAGTAGTATCAACTGGTCTTCCTTGTAGGTGTATGGATATTTTCCTATCACTGACAGCATTGTACTTCAGGATAGATCTTGAAACATTCTTTGTGATGATGAATGCCATGCCATTCCTCTTCAATTTATCATTCCCAGCAGAGCAGATCATTTGGTTGTCTGATTGAAAATGGCCATAACCAGTCCATTTCAGCTCACTAATGCCTGGGATATCGATCTTTATGTGTTCCATTTCAATTCTGAAAACTTCCAATTTTTCTAGATTCATACTTTGTATATTGCATATTCTTAATATTAGTGGATGTTTGCAGCTATTCCTTCTCATTTTGAGTCGTGCCACATCAGCAAATAGAAGTCCCATAAGCTTTACTCCACCCACATCATTAAGGTTGACTCTACTCTGAGGAGGCAGCTCTTCCCCAGTCCTATTTTGAGAGCCTTCTGACCTGAGGGGCTCATTTTCTGACACTATATCAGACAATGTTTCAGGCTATTCATAAATTTTTCCAATAATATATCAGGCAGTGTTTCACTGCTATTCATAAGGTTTTCACTGGCCAATTCTTTGAGAAGTGGATGGCCCCTTCCTTCTTCCAAGTCTGTCTTCTTCTGGAAACTCCGCTGAAACCAGTCCACCATGGGTGACCATGTTTGTATTTGAAATACCAGTGGCATAGCTTCTAGCCTCAAAGCAACACATAAGCCACCACAGTACAACAAACTGACAGACAAGTGGTGGATGTGCCATATGTTGCCTAAGAACAGGTGCAGTCTGAGCATATAAGTAGAATACCACTGGGTGGCCTTAGAAATGGGTAGGGGGAAGCAGAATAAAAGGTCTAGGAATTGATCTGCAGCTGACAGGTCTGCACCATGGATCTCCCAGAAAACTTGAGAATTCACACTTCAAGACCTTTCTTTATTCCTCAGTTGAAGTATTTAGGGTTAAATGATCTTAATCACTTTAAGTCAAAGAAAATATATTTTTAGCCAAACTAAAGATGAAAGGGAAAGACAACTAAAGAAAGTTTGTTGGAATATGATATGCCAGGTTGTGTTATATAATGATGCAGTTGCTGTTATATTTCAGGGTTGGCTTGAAGGCTGTGTGAGTCTACTCAGAAATGGTGCCAAGCATAATATTCCTGATAAAAATGGTCGTCTGCCATTGCATGCTGCCACTGCTGAGCCCGATGTGAGGTAAGTAGCCAGATTGGCACAGCACTCAGGTTGGCAAACACCCAGCTTATATTTGAGGGTCATTCAATCCACCCTCTGTGCTAATAAAGATAAAACCCATGCATTTTTTGAAGTGGCAGCAGAAAAGATCACATCCAAGCAAATCAAAATGTCTTTGAATAGTCTTAGTCACTAATCTCATTTCCCTCCTAGTTCAATAAAGACCCTTTTCCCTTGTCCTTGATTTAAGGAGAAATATTATCTGTCATCATCTGAATTCATATACTCATTCAATCGATTAATTAGTCATTATTGATTCAATAAATATTTATTGAGTGCTTATTTATATACCAAGCACTGTTCTAGCCTTAACAGTTCTATAGTAAGCAAGACAGTATCTCTGACATCATAAAGCTTAGATTCTAGTGAAAGAGTTATGTAGCACATTAGAAAACAAATAAATAAGACAATTTCAGACAGCTATGAGTGCTATTAAGAATATCAAACTGGGGGAAAGCAATGATTAAGCAGAAAGATTAATGTCAAAACCCATGTCATGCCAATATTTATGGGTTAGGAAGAGGAATAGAACCTAGTAAAGGAGACTAAACCAAAAAAACAAACTCACAGCTATCAAGTTGATTCTGACTCATAGTGACCCCACCTTCCAAGATGACATCTCTACGGAAGTAGATTGCCCAGTCTTCCTTCTGAGTATAGGAGACTAAGACAGGGAAATTAGTGAGTGAGAAGAAAAACTAGGAGTGGGTGCTCCTAGAAACCATATGAAATACATTCAAATAAAGTGGATGATCAAGAAGATTACATTTTTCTAAGGCAATTAGGAATCAAGAAAAGAAGTTTGCCCATATCAAATTTAATTCCAGCTTCACTATCTTTGTGTCTAAACGGCCTCATTCTCCATTCTTTTGAAAGCTCTTCAGAGTGATAACAGCATTTCCCACTGTGGAACAGGCAATGTTCTGACCTCTTCCTTAAGCTCTACTGTAGAGAACAAGCCTTTGACAGGAATTTAGCATTCCTCAATCTAGGCCACAAGCCAGCACCAAAGGGGGCATGTTCTGTAGGACTCACTCTCTAACCAACTTGTGTCCAGAACTAAAACACTATGGGGTCTGGGAAAAACCAAGGCCATAAACTCCGAAGTCAAGAGATAGCAGGATTTCCTCATTGCAATCTGCTTTACAGTAAAATAAAAAAAAAGTTGGGAAATTCCAAGTCTATTTCCAAAACTCTCCTCTTATCATCATTGGATTATATGCAGAAATAACAGAAAACTAGGATTTACTGAAAGCCTGACAATAAAAGGAAGTTTAGAGAAGAGACAAAAAACCCAGGCAGCTATCAATAAACATTGTAAAAGAATGACCCCCTTTTGATTAATTAGACAAAAATGAATGACCTTTCTTGACAACCCACATAAATATTTCTTGTTGTAGTTGTTATGTGTCATTGACTCGCTTTCAATTCATAGCGACACTAGGCACAATAGAACAAATACTATCCACTAGTGCACCATCCTCTCAATCTTTGCTATGCTTGAGCCCATCATTGCAGCCACTGTGTCAATCCATCTCATTGAGGGTCTTCTCCTTTTTCACTGACTCTCTACTTTACCAAGTATGATATCCTTCTCCAGGACTGAATCCTTTTGACAACATGATGAAAGTATGTCAGACAAAGTCGAGCCATTCTTGCCACTAAGGAGCATTCAGGTTGTCTCTTTTCCAAGACAAATTTGTTCATTCTTATGGTTGTTTTTGTTATATGCCATCAAGTTGGGCCTGACTCATAGCAACCCCTCCTTGGGTTTTGGTAGTCCATGGTATTTTCAATATTCTTTGTCACACCACAGTGCAAATCCATCAAATCTTCTGCAGTCTTCTTTATTCATTGTCCAGTTCTCACATGCATATGTTGTTGTTGTTAGGTGCCATCAAGTCGATTCCAACTCATAGCAACCTTATGAACAACAGAACGAAACACTACTGACCCTGTGCCATCCTCACAACCTTGCTATACTTGAGCCCATCATTGCAGCCACTGTGTCAATCCATCTTGTTGAGGGTCTCTCCCTTTTTCATTGACCCTCTACTTTGTGGTTGTTGTTATATGCCGTCGAATCAGCCATGACTCATAGCAACCCCTCCTTGGGTTTCTGAGGAGATATCACTATGGAAGTAGATTGCCCAACCTTCCTTCTGAGGAGTGGCTGGTGGGTTTGAACCGCCAGCCTTCTGGTTAGCAGACAAGTGCCTTAGACACTAGGCTACCAGAGCTCCTAGACCCTCTACTTTACCAACCATGATATTCTTCTCCAGGGAATGGTCCCTTCTGACAACGTGACCAAAGTAGGTGAGGCAAAGCCTAGCCATACTTGCTCCCAAGGAGCATCCTGGCTGCAATTTTTCCAGAACAGATTTGTTTGTTCTTCTGGTAGTCCATTGTATTTTCAGTATTCTTTATCAAGACCATAAGTCAAAGACATCAACTCTTCAATCTTCCTTTTTCATTGTTCAGCTTTCATATGTATGTGAGGCTATTAAAAACACCATGCCTTGGATCAAGCATACCTTAGTTTTCAAAGTGAAATCTTTGATCTTCAACACTTTAAAAAGGGCTTTTGCTGCAGGTTTGCTCAGTGCAATATAATGTCTGATTTCTGGAGCTATGGTGGCATAATACCTAAGGCATTTTTGACTGCCAACCAGAAGGCTGGTGGTTCAAACCCACCAGCCACTCCTTGAAAGGAAGATTGGGTAATCTACTTC